GGGGACAATGTTCACTTGCGCCGGCCTACGCTGGCCTTCCGCGAGCTTCCCCCAACGAAGGCGCCCTCGTTTTCCTTCCGCCGCCTTCCGCCGGGGAAGACACGCCAACCTCTCGACCCATTGGGTCATCGGAGGCGAGATCCTTTCCGGAACGCGCCAGCTGGAAAGCCTTGGGGCCCCGCGTCAGCAGCAATCTCGGTCCCGCCCGCAGGCGATGGCTCGCACCGGGCATCTCAGCACACTCCACAACAGGGCACGGGCAGCCTTCCAGGGCGAGCTGTCGGTAAGAGAGGAGCTCTCCTCTCCTCCAGCGTCACGGTTTCTGTGTGACGTGGGCCCCGTGGGCTCTCGAAGCCTTCACCGAAGCTGGCCTTGCGTCCCGCGCCGCGGCTCTTGATGGCCCCGCGCGGGCCCGAAGCAGGGCCCACACACGATTGTTTCGCGCCGCCTCTGGAGGAGGTCCGTCTCCAAAAGCTCCCCGGAGGTCCCCGGAAGCGCCCGCGGAGGCCTCCAGAGGCCCCCGAAAGCCAGAGCTTGGCCAGCCGCAGCACGGAGGTCGGAGAAGCACCGGGGCGCACGCGCCCAACCACGTGCATGAGCACGCACGCCGACTCGCGAGGCATCATCATCATCAGCATCATCATCATCATCATCATCAGCATCATCAGCATCATCAGCATCATCATCATCATCATCATCATCATCATCATCATCATCATCATCATCGTCATCATCATCATCTTCATCATCATCATCATCAGCAGCAGCAGCATCATTATGTCACGAACGCGCACGTGATGCACCCCTGCACCCTCCCGAAACACATGGGCACTTATGATCGCGTACAGTCGGACATGGGCCAGAAGAGCACCCCTCAAGAACACAAGACCCTCCGCCGGCCAAGATACAAAGAACATCCAAGGGTACCTTCCTCAGGATGCACAAGAGCATCCAACACATACATACGAAGACCATTAGAGTACCCTCCCCGAACCGACCTCCATCCTTGGAATCTCGGTCCCGGCTAGGAATCTCGGTCCTCGAAAGCCCAACCTCGGGTCATCAGGGGGGTGGTTGGCAGGAGATCCCAAAAACGAATCGATGAGCCGGATCGGCGCTCGGCATGAGCCAGATCGGCGGAAACCGGTAGCCGAGTCGGGAGAAGCCCAATCGGCGGAAATCGGCAGGCTTGTAGGCCTGAAACTGAGAAATCGGAATCCAAATCGGAATCCGAAGGCGAACCGAAGCGGACTCGAGCCAGCCAGATCGAATCGAATCGAACCGGAGGGGTCGAGATGAGCCCTGGGGGAGGGGGCTCGAAGTGCCCGGGGGCGATCCTGGCAGCCAGCCCAATACAACCATTGCGCTCCGCGCGAGGCCTGCAGGGTTTTTCCTCATTACCCCCTCCCCATGTATCGTTAGGTCGGGACTGTCCCCCTACAGGGGGAAGTTGGGCGAAATTACAAATAATCAAACAAGCATTCTACAAATGCTCGGGAATGGTCAAAAAATAGTGCCCAGACGGTTGTTCCACAATTTTTGCATATCCCTCCTGAAGAGGGACAGGCCCGACTTAAATGTACTGCCCCCCCGCCCCCCTACAGCGGAGGCCAGTCCACAAGAAACCTTCCACAGGAAACCCAACCCTGAGAGCCCAGGACGTCCATGGTGCTTCGTGGCAAGGGAACGTCTGAAGGGGCCCCAGGACACACAAATAAATACACACAAATAAACATATTCCCCATATTTTCCTATATTTTCTGGGTTTTTGTCTCCCCCCCCACTTCCCATATTTTCCCATATTTTCCTGGGGCTCGACGATTCATTGTGTCTGTGTGTTTTTTCTCCTCCTGAAAGGGAACGTCACACGCCTTCCATCGCAAAAGCATCGAGACCCAAAGAAACCCAGGGCACCCTGGAGGCAGGGTGTGTGTGTGTCTTGGCAGGGGCCTCCACCGGAAGGCGTCTCGGTTCCCAGCTCGTCGAACCACGGAAATGTTGCCCGCGGCGTATGGACCATTTTCCCGCGGTCTTCGCGAGTTCTCAGCGGTTTTCGGGGTGGTTCGGGGGGGGCAAAAGGGGCAGGAGGGAGAGAGGAGGGAGGGATCGGGTAAGGGGGAGGAGGGTATGAGGGAGGGGGAGGAGGACGGCGATGAGGGGGCAGGGTGGGGGAGGGAGGAGGGCGATCAGCGGGCTATCCCGCCGCTTGGAGGCAAGCGGGGTGTTTCTTGGCATGGGTCTCCACTGCTGCGCGCCCTGGGAAGCCCATGAGCCATGAGGTCGCGCGGAGGCCTCTGGAAATCCCTCTGGTGGCGCCCGCAGAGGGGCCTCCGGAGGTCCCCCACCCCCCCCGGCCTCGCCGACGCTCGGACGCCCCTTCCCTGTGCATTCTTGTTTGGTTTCGCGCGTGTGTGTTTTTGGCCCGTGCTGCCCGCATGGCATCTCATCGTCGAACTCTTCGGCGTCTGAGCGTCCCTTCTTCCAATCGGCCGCCCCCCCTTCCCCCCCTGTGCTCGCCGGCCAATTCGCCAGTTGGCGCCCCCATCTAGCTTCTCGCTGGAGCGGAGATCGCTGCCTCGCTGCGGACGAAAAAGTGTTCTGGTCGGCCCGATGGTCGAGGGTGCTCCTCGAAGGCCCTCGCCGCAAGGGATGCACACGCCCGAGCGATGCCAAGAGGCCCGGGCTGGAGAACGTGCAGCCCCTCAGAGCTTCGAGCCTCGAGCCGCGGGCGCCCCATGGGAGAGCCGCACGCGCGTGCCGGCGGCACCACGCTGCGCGGGCCAGTGCCCCCAAACAGCGTGCAGGTGCTCTGTTGAACGTCTCCTGCTCGAGGACCTACCCTGCAGCATGTCCACTGCACTCTGCGTGGTGGCCAGGGGCCTCCCGGACGAGGTCCGCGCAGGTGGGGCTGGAGGATCGCGCCGCACCAACAAGCCCCTCCTGCCGCAGCCCCCACAGATCCCCGACGCCCTGACTTGTGCATGACGTGGGCCCCCAGCGGTCTTGACCCATTCCCCAGGACTGGCTTCTAATCCCCGGCAATAGAAATCATATTCGTGATTTTCGGGGGCGGCCAAGGGGGGGCGTCCAAGAGGTGGGGTCGCGAATCATGGCCCACGGCAAAATTATGCGCGGCCCAGGGGGGGGGGGAGGGGGGCAGGGACGTAATGAAACAAGAAGAGGCGCCATAGAATCTGGGGAAATACCTATACGACCACCCTTCGGGTGATAAGGAGGTTCGGGGGGGGGGAGGAACCAACGTCTCACTCGATCGGTCCCACTATCGATCTCACCATCGATCTCAGTATCGGTCTCGCTCGATCGATCTCCCTCGATCGATCTCACAATCGATCTCACTCGATCTATCTCACAATTGATCTGACTATCGATCTCACAATCGATCTCACAATCGATCTCACAATCGATATCACATTCGGTCTCACTATCGATCTCACTATCGATATCACAACCGCTCTCACAATCAACGTCATCATCATCATCATCATCATCATCATCATCATCAACAACAACATCAACATCAACATCATCAACGCCAACATCATCATAATCGGGTCACCGTCCTCATCATCAGCACCAACATCATCATCATCACGGTCATCAACATCATCGGGACACCACCATCATGATCACCATCACCATCATCACAATCATCAGCATCAACATCATCATCATCAGCAGCAGCATCGGGACACAGTCATCGTCATCATCATCAGCAGCATCATCATCGGGACACCATCATGATCACCATCGTTATCATCATCATCATCATCATCATCATCGGGACACCATCATCATCTCATCCTCATCATCGACATCATCATCATCAACATCATCAACATCATCATCAACATCATCATCATCGTCATCACCCGGTCACCATCATCATCATTACCAACATCAGCATCAGCATCATCATCATCACCATCGAGACGCCATCATCATCAACATCATCATCAACATCATCACCATCAGAATAATCATCATCATCGGGACGCCATAATCATCAGCAACCTCATCATCATCAACATCATCATCATCATCGGGACACAATCATAATCAGCATCATCAACATCAACATCATCATACTCATCATCATCATCATCGGGACACCATCATCGTCATCATCATGATCATCAACATATTCATCAAGATCATCATCCTCATCACCGGGACACCATCAGCATCATCATCATCGTCATCATCATCATCGACATCATCATCATCATCATCATCATCATCATCATCATCATCATCATCATCGGGACACCAACATCATCATCATCATCATCATATCATCATCATCATCATCATCATCGGCCTCATCATCATCATCAGCATCACCATCATCATCATCATCGTCATCATCATCATCTTCATCATCATCAGCAGCATCATCAGCATCAGCATCAGCATCAGCATCAGCATCAGCATCACCATCACCATCATCATCATCATCATCATCATCATCATCATCATCATCACCATCATCCTCATCATCATCATCATCATCATCATCATCATCATCATCATCATCATCATCATCATCATCGCGGGACACCGCGGGACACCGGCGGGACACCGCGGGGCACAGCGGGACACCGCGGGACACCAGCGGGACACCGGCTGGACACCGCGGGCCACCGGCCGCCCGGAAGGGAGTCATTTGGTCCGGCCGCGCCTCAGCCACACGGGACACCAGCGGGACACCGGCGGGACACCGCGGGCCCCTGGCCGCCCGGAAGGGAGTCATTTGGTCCGGCCGCGCCTCAGCCACAGGAGACTTTCTCTCGCCCGCCCACGCAACTTCGCCTCGCCCGCACGCGCGGCACGCACGAACACGAAACCGAAATCGATTTCCCGGTAGGGGGGCTCTCCGTTCCACTTCGATCTGACCCCCTCACCTCCGATCATGGCCCACGCCCTGATATCCACCCCCACTAGTCGTCACCCCCCTCTTGACCGCCCCCGAGATTTTTTTGTCATGACTCGAAATTCTGGGCCCCCCCCTGGGATCCTTTCAGGCCCGCCGTCGCGACGTGGCCCGCGACCGCCACGACCGACTTGCTGGGCGTGCCTGGCGCGGGCGGGCCAGCGCGGGCGGGGAGGGAGGGGTGCGGGGCACGGGAGGGCCCGCTGGACCGCAAAAATCGGGCACGTAGAATACCCAACAGCAAATGTTGCCCGAAACTGACAGCGGCCGCCGTTGGGCAGGCGACTTGCTGCTACAGGATGGACAGCGTCCGCGGCGACACCGACAGCAAGTCCTGCCACAAAATGAGAAGGAGTTGCCGTGTGCCTTCTTCCCAAGTCTCTCTGCCTTTCTTTCTTTATGTATTTCTTTATTTCTCTCTTTCTCTCTCTTGTTGTTTCTCTCTCTATATATATATATATATATATTGATATGTTGTAGGAATTTATGCGTGCAAATGAAATTAGTGGTGGCAGGGCAAATATATGATATATGTATATACAGTATCGATAAAAACCATGTACACCTATGACTTATACCTTTTAACCACACACGCTTCTATCATTTGTATGTATATATGGCACGTATGTTTATGAATGTGCGTATGTATGTATCACGTTTACATGATTCGTATGTGTGAGACGTGTAAACAAGTCTATAAACGTTTATATATATATATACATATATATATATATATATATATATACATGTGTGTGTGTGAATCAGCCACCGCGCGGCGAGGCGCCAAATTGAATGTTCTCCAGGTCCTCATGTGTCCTCTGTTCTCTGTGCTCAGAACTCTGGGACTACAGTATTCTAAAGGCTTGGGCCCAATATTCTCAAATTTCCTGGGCGCCCCCGCGCGTTCTTGGGCTGCCCCGCATCACTTGTGCAGAGGCCGGGGGGGCCCAAGACGGGCCAAGAAGGCCCCAGAAAGCACCCAACAGGGTCCAAGAGGCCTCCAAGACAGCCCAAGAGCGCTCCAAGACGCCCTAGATGGCCCCAAAGAAGCCCCAAGAGTGCTCCAAGAGGATCCCCAAGAGGGCCTAAAGAGGCAAACACCATGCATTCTCCGAATGGTTTACGATGTTGTTCGCGTTCTCGCGTTTTCGGGCTTCCGACGCTCCAAGATGGCCCCAGAGGCCCCTAAGACCGCACCAAGACGGCCCAAGAGGCTCCCAGGAGGGCCCCAGAACGGTCCAAGAGGGCCCCGAAGCGTCCGAAGAGGCCCCAAAGATCGCCCAAGAGAGCACCAAAACGGCCCCAAGAGGGGCCCCCAGGAGGTCCCAAAAGGCTCCCAAGAGAACCCAAGAGGAGGCCCCGCGCAGCCCCAAGAGGGCTCCAAGATGCCCCCAAACGGCACCCAGGAGGCCTCAAACCTGCCTCCAACAGGCCCACGAGAGGCCTCCGCCGATATCCAAACAAACATCCGAGAGGCCTCCAACCCACAACTCAGGCACGGTGCTAGAATGGGACGAAGGATGCGGTGCACGCTTGACTATATATATATGTGTTTATTTGTATGTAGGTATGTATGTTCTATGTATGTATGTATGTATGTATACATGCATGCATGCATGTATGTATGTATGCGTGTACTATGTATACATGTATGTACGCATGTGGGCGTGAGTATGTGGATGTGTGCATGCGTGTATATATATATATAGATACGTGTACGAACGTATGCATGTGTGTGCATGTATGTATGTGTACGTGTAAATGTGTATGTATGTTAGATTGTATGCGTGCATGCATACATACATGTGTGCATGCATACATGTGTGTATACACGCATGTGCGTATGTGTGTATGTATGTATACATGACTGTACGTGTGCATGCATGTATGGATGCATGAACGTCTGTATGTATATGTACGCGCGCATACAGGTATGCAAATATGCCTGCATACATGCATGTATGAATTCCTGTGTGTACATGTATGTATGTACAGATGCCTGCAGAACTGTATATCTGAATGTGTGTATGTGTATGTAGGTATGCGATTACGTTTGTCTGTATGGTTACATGTATGGAAGCATACATGTTATGTGTGAATGTGGTAATAACTGTAAGTAGGTATGCGTGTGTATGTACGGGCGTATGTGCATATAAAGAAATATGGATCGGTATGTGTGTTGATATGTATGTATGCATGAGTGCATGCATGTATACATGCATGTATGCATGCATATATGTATGTATGCATGCATGCGTGCATCCATGTGTTACCGCATGTATGTGTGTATGTATAGGTACGTATGTATATACGTACGTATGCATATACCCATACAATGTATATGCACGCATGTTATGTGTATGTAGGTGTGTATGTCAGTATGTAGGTGTGCGTGTGTATGCATATATGTATGTATGTATACATGTGTATGTCTGTGTACACATGAATATGTACAGGTGTGTATCGATGAATGTGTGTATGTGTCTGTTTATGTATGTATGAATGCCTGCATGTATGTATGCATGCATGTATGGACGAGTGTCTGTATGTATGTAGGTAGTTAGATGGGTAGGCAAGGATGAAGGAATCCACGTGTGCAATTATACACATAGATAGGTCTCCGCACGCACCATGAACCCCCCTTGTCTCTTGGAAGATGCCAAGAGAACAGGGGGGCGGAAGGCGGGCGCGGTAACCGTAAAGGAAGAAGTGTCACATAAGGGGTGGTTGCGTGATGGAGAAAGAAGACTGTTGAGTATCGGGTGCTGTGTTGGAGACGAAAGGTGTTGAGTACTGGATGGTGTGGTGGAGACGGAGGGAGTTGAGCAGAAGGTTCTTTTCAAGGTCAGCCTGGGGAGGGAGCCTATTGAGTATCGGGTGATGCGTTGGGGACGGAGGGGGTTGAGTACCGGATGGTGTGCTGGAGACGGAGGGAGTTGAGTAAAAGGTTCTTTTCAAGGTCAGCTTGGGGAGGCAGTCTGTTGAGTATCGGGTGCTGTGTTGGGGACGGAGGGTGTTGAGTACTGGATGGTGTGCTGGAGACGGAGGGGGATGAGCAAAAGGTAATTTTTCATGTTCAAGGTCAGCTTGGGGAGGGAGCCTGTTGAGTATCGGATGCTGTGTTGGGGACGGAGGGTGTTGAGTACTGGATGGTGTGTTGGAGACGGAGGGAGATGAGTAAAAGGTTATTGTCAAGTTCAGCTTGGGGAGGAAGCCTGTTGAGTATCGGGTGCTGTGCTGGAGACGGAGGGTGTTGAGTACTGGATGGTGTGTTGGAGACGGAGGAAGAGGTTCAGTAAAAGGTTCTTTTCAAGGTCAGCTTGGGTAGGCAGTCTGTTGAGTATCGGGTGCTGTGCTGGAGACGGAGGGTGTTGAGTACTGGATGGTGTGTTGGAGACGGAGGGAGTTGAGTAAAAGGTTATTTTCAAGGTCAGCTTGGGGAGGGAGCCTGTTGAGTATCGGGTGCTGTGTTGGGGACGGAGGGTGTTGAGTACTGGATGGTGTGCTGGAGACGGAGGGAGTTGAGTAAAATATTATTTTCAAGGTCAGCTTGGGGAGGGAGCCTATTGAGTATCCTGTGCTGCGTTGGGGACGGAGGGTGTTGAGTACTGGATGGTGCGTTGGAAACGGAGGGAGTTGAGTAGAAGGTTATTTTCAAGTTCAAAAATGAGCCTCAAAATCAAGTCCGTATATCGTACGCATCATATAAACCATATATGATCTGAAGAAAGGGGGGTTCTTGGTGCGTGCGGAGGGGTCACATATATATATACACATTCATACACATCCATGTATATAGCCGTAGTATATGGGCGGTCGAGGGCTGACCCTCGGGGGAGGCCAGAACCTCTAAAGTGTTGACAACACTGTTACTCTATGTGCTGTCCGTGTTCGTTATCCCTCCTGGCCCCCCTCTCCTCCTCTTCCTCCTCTTCCTCCTTCTTCTACTCCTTCTCCTCCTCCTCCTCCTCCATCCCTCCTCCTCCTCCTCCTCCTCCTCCGCCTCCTCCTCCTCCTCCTCCTCCTCCTTCTCCTCCTCCGCTTCTTATTCCCTCTCCTATTCCTCCTCCTATATTCCTCCTCCTCCTCCTCCTCCTCCTCCTCCTCCTCCTCCTCCTCCTCCTCCTCCTCCTCCAACTGCTCCTCCCTCTTCCTCTCTCCTCCTCCTCCTCCTCCTCCTCCTCCTCCTCCTCCTCCTCCTCCTGCTCCTCCTCCTCCTCCTCCTCCTCCTCCTGCTGCTGCTGCTGCTGCTCCTCTCCTCCTCCTCCTCCTCCTCCTCCTCCTCCTCCTCCTCTCCTCCACCTCCTCTCCTCCTCCTCCTCCCTGCTCCCCTCTCCTGCTCCTCCTCCTGCTCCTGCTCTTCCTCCTCCTCCTCCTCCTCCTCCTCCTCCTCCTCCTCCTCCTCCTCCTCCTCCTTCCCCCCTCTCCCCTCATCCGACCTCCTGCGTCTTCCTCCCTGCTGATCCTCGTCGGGCGTTCGCCACACGAGGCACCACAAACGGGGGTACACCGTTCGCGCAGCTTCGGAGCCCCCAGAGAGCCCATTTTGAACCGCTTCCGTACAGCTCTCCATCGCTCCCCCCCCCCCGTATCATTCATCGCCACCCGCTGCGAGTGCCCGGCTTCGGCCTCTGGAGGCCCTCGCCGGGCCGCGGGACTGCCAGAACACAACTCAGAATTAAGTCGGGCCTGTCCCTCTACAGGGGGAATCTTCAAAAATAGTAAAAAAAAAAAAAAAGTCTGGGAACGATGTTTTAAAAAGTAATTTCCACCATTCTTGAATATTGTTTGACAAATTTCTGTTTTTCAGCATCAAATCCGCCTGTGGGGGGACATGCCCGACCTAAACTCAGGATGAGAAGCTGACCCAGGGGAAGGGGTTGGCACTTCTTCCTGGGAGCTCCGAGCTGGAAAACGAAGCGGATCTCTGGAGGGGTCGAGAGCCCTGGTCTCCGGGGGTCCCACGCCACAGCCACAGACAACGGGTCACGTCAGAGCAGGAGGACTTTCTCGCCCGACATCCAGACGTGGTGGGAAGCAACAGTCTCGGCGGGACTTCCGCCCATGCTGGGTCCTGGGAACTTGACGGATCGATCTAGCTTGAGAGGTGCCGCGCGAAGATGGGTCGAGAGCTTCATGAGCGAGGATGATTCGGCGTGGTCTCTCTTTCAGCACGCCTATCACTTCAGGAGGACACCAAGGTTCCTTCGACGTCGATCCTGGCCTGGTCAGCCATTGGCCCGGGATGGGTCGATACGCTCTCTGGGAACAGGAGCTGTGCTTCAGCAACGACGCTTGGATTGAGAATTCTCGTTCATTCCTCCAGAACCTTCTCATCTGCTTTGGACCGTTTGCGCATCGGGTCGGCAGCAGCGACGCAGCGCCCGCCTGAATCAGAAGCCGGAACACAAATATGACGACTCGGTCATCACATGAGCGCCGATCAAAAACGGGTCTTACGCGAGATGGCACAGCGACCTTCCGCGGTGACTTAAATACGCGGGCCACCAGCGAGGTAATCGAAGACGAGGGCGCTTACGCGCGAGCTTTTGCGCGGGCAACTTACGCGCCAATGTCGACGCAGACGGCCCCGTTTCCCCCAGACCCCTGACGTCATGACTTTTTCATGACGCGACCCCCAGAGGCCCGGACCCGTTCCCCGGGACCGGCTTTTTTCAGCCTGAATCGTTGTTTGAAGGTCCCGATTGCCGACGAGGCCCCCAGAAGCTGAAAATAGCGAAACACCTCCAGTCGTGATTTTCTCCTGACGCAAGGGGATATGTGGGTCTTGCGTTGTGGATGCCACGACAATGGACACCCGAACAGTCTGATCATCGAATTAAACATGTGTTTAGCATGTCGGAAAATGTCATGAACATGTCTAAAACATGTTTTTACATGTCTAAACCGTTTTAACACATGTCTTACGACATCTGGAAATTATTTGGCGACACTCTTCCTCTCCATTGATCGCCCTCCACAAGTCTTGCGCCGCTCGCACGACGGCCATCATTGAGCGGGACAGGTCAAGCCGGAATAAGCGGGATTCCGCGGGACTGAACCGGATTAAGCGGGATCAAGCCGGATTGAGCCGGACTTCGGGCCAGGGCAGTGTCAGAAGTTGACCTCCCAGGAGTTGCATCCGAAGCGAGGGGATCTGCGGGTCCTGCGCCGCTCGCAGGACGGCCACCAAGTGCGCGCAGGGGAGGCGTGCTCGACAGCCGCGCTCGGCCGGGCGGGCGCTGGCGCGCGCCTGGGGCCCCGCGTCCGTGCCCCCGGGAGTGGCTGGGGCCGGTGCGCCTCCCAGGAGCGTCGGCCACCGCATACCCAAGACCTCCTCCTGCTCCTCCTCCTCCTCCTCCTCCTCCTCCTCCTCCTCCTCCTCCTCCTCCTCTCCTCCTCCTCCTCCTCCTCCTCCTCCTCCTCCTCCTCCTCCTGCTCCTCCTGCTCCTCCTCCTCCTCCTCCTCCTGCTCCTCCTCCTCCTTCTCCTCCTCCTCCGAAGCCTTCCACAAGAAACCCAACCCTGAGACCCCAGGACGTCCACGGATGTTTGGTGTGGGGCCGTCACGTTCTCCAGCGCAAAACCATCGAAACCCAGGAAGCCCAGGGCACCCTGGAGGCAAGCAGGGTGCTTCCTGGCATGGGTCTCCACTGTTCCCATGACCCTTGAGGGCGCTGGTCGGTGACAGGAGTCCGGAAATGCTCTCGGATGGAGGCCGTGTTCCTGCAGATTCCGGCGAGCTGACCTGCATGGTCGTCGTCGTCGAACGTCTGGGAAAGGGGGCGCGCCGCCCTCGAACGACCGAGGGTGAAGAGGAGTCGGCGGTCCAAGGAACGCCATGCCTCCAGCTCCGCGTGGATACTTACTTGCATGGACGGGGGAGAGGGGGGGGTGCGTCGCCAGGCCCGCAAGGAAACCTGGAGTTCACCCAGCTCGGAACCCACTTGCACGCTTTTTCCGGCCCAGCGATGCCTGCAAAAGCGGCGGGAAGGGGAGCGACCGGGGGGGGGAAGGGAAACATTGCATGCAAGCGATCTTCCAAAACATGCGATGCCCTGATTTTTTCAATGCGGGGTCCCCGCTAGTCCCAGCCCTCGGGACCGGCTTTTCATACTGACTCCTTTTTTGTTGGTCCCAGGGCCCGGCAGCGGCCCCCACTGCAGAGGCCCACAGAGGAGGCCGTGCTGGACAAGGCCTCCGCGGGCGCGATTCCTTCCCCCGGTGCCAAGGGTTGGGCCCCCAGGCGCCCCTGGCCCGCCGCCCCCCCCTCCCTCCCCAGGGCCCACCCACGAAGCTCTGGGGGGGCCCCCCAACGCCAGGCAGTCCCCCCCCCCCACGCCCCCCCGCCTGCCCCGTGGGACGAGGGAGGAGGCAGCAGCGTGCTCGACTCGCCTCGTGGAGCAAAACGCGCAACGTGTCCTGAACAACACGCACACACACACGTGCACACTGACACTCTGTGCGTGGTCTTTTCCACTCGGTGTGTGTGTGTGTGAATGTGTGAATGTGTGTGAATGAGTGTGAGAGAGAAAGAGAATGTGTGTGTATGTGTGTGAGAATGTGTGAAAGTGTGTGTGTGTGTGTGTGTGTGTGCGTTTGTGTGTGTGTGCGTTTGCGTATGGTTCCTCCACTGGAGGCGGACTCAGACATGAACGCCTCGTCCTGGAACAATCCTGACGGGAGGCCTTCGGCCGTCCAATGCACGCAGGAGGCCCTTGCCAGCCAAGCCCCGGGGGCGTCAAACGAAACACACTGGGATGACAATGGGCTCATGGAAAACAGTCGGGACATCAGAGAGGCCCGTCCTGAAAACCAAAGCGTCGCATGTCTGGGGAAAGGGGGGCCCATATGTAGACGTTCGCGGGCGGTGTGCGGACTGCTTGCGGCGGGCCAGGCCCTGGATGGCGCACCGAAGCGCACCTGGGCACGCCAAGTGGCAAACGATGTCATAGCAACGCCCAGACAGAGGAACGCGCGGAAAACAAGACCCATCACAACACTTGCGCAGCGGGTTACGGCTCGCCACCAGAGCCACCTGATGTTGTGCATCACGCCCCGCGATGCGCGACGCGCAGTTGTCGTCGCGCCCTCGCGCCTTCGCGCCGCCTCCGTGGAAAAACGGGCAGCCGCTCTGGCCCAGACTGCGACGTCTGAGGCGCGATGTCTGCGCGCCTCGCCTCGCGACCGAGGCTGCGGACCCGGCCGAACGCGTCCGAATCCGCCCCACGTGTGGAGCGCATGACTGCGAAGGTGGTGTGGACGGCCCCTGGGAATGCCCCGCCGACTGGAGGTCCCAGCTCCGCTCCTCGCCCTCCGACTGCCCGCTTGCCGCCTGCCCGGCCGATCCCCAGAACGGCCCACACGCCGACGACGAGGACATTGGATCAGGAACCGTTGGATGAGGAATCTAGAGCTTGGAAGCCAGTGGGACTCGAATCGTGGAGTGGCCATGGAGGACATCGCGACCCGCATCTGAGAATGAATCATCCAGGTTGTGAAGCCTCCTGGGCACAGTCCTGCACCGACGGCCCCGCCACATCCGGGCGCTGGGGCCATCCGTAAAGTCAGGGCGAATCCAGCCGTTGCGACGGCAAACAAAAATCCTCGATCCCTGACCCCTCTTCCCCACCCTCCCCTCCTCTCCCTCCCTCTTCCCTCCGGCCTCCCCTGTCGTTCCACCCGCCCCTCCCTCCCTGCTCCTCCCCCTCCTTCACTCCCTCTCCCTCTCAATTCCCCCTCTCGCCTTTCCCTCTTTCCTCGCGCGTGGCCGCGGGATCCTGCGCCGCCCTTGCCGCAGACGGAATTCACCGCCGCAGTTGGGGGCGAGCTGCTGGCACGAGGGCGAGCGCCTCGTTTTGCGAAAAAGGTTTCGACCTACTTGGGCCCTTCGAGCTCGGACGGCCAAGCAAAAGAGATCACCTTCCCATCTTCGCTCCCTCCCTCCCTCCCTTCCTCCCTCCCGGCCCTGGGACACCCCCGAGAGGCTCCCCACCTCCGTCACGCCGGCCCCCCCTCTGGGGGGCTCCTCCCCTCTCCAGTCCTCCCACATCTCGCCCCCCCCCCCCCCCGGATCCCTCCTCCCTGCTCATCCTCCTCCCCTCCCCCTCCCTTGCCTCTTTTCCCCCTCGACCCCGTCCTGGCCCTCCCCCCTCGCTCCCCCGCGCCTCCTCGCCCCCCCCCTCCCCTTCCCTCCCCCCCCTCTCCCCCTCCCTCCCTCCCCATCCCTTCCCATCCCCCTTCCCCTTGCCTCCCTCTCCCTCCCTCCCCCTCCCCCCTCCCCTCCCCTCGCCTCCCTCCCCTCCCCGCGTCCCTCCCTCTCCCTACCCCCCCCCTCTCTTCCTTCCCCCACCCCCCTCCCCCGCCCCTCGCTCCACCGATCGAGGTGGCTGGGCAAGCAGGCGCTGCCGCGCCTGCTCCGGGAGACGGCCCTTCTGGAGTTCGGCCCCCGTCCTGGGCGGGCACGGCGGCGCGGCAGGGTCGCATCGTGTCGGCTCGCGCGCTCGTTTCTGACACCGCGTGGATCGTCAGAGGGAGAACAGACTGCATTACAGCCGGGTTCCAGTATCCCCAAACAGCACTTGCTGAACCAAAGTGGCTAATTAGAGTGTTCGCGTGTTCTCCTGCGGCTGATCCAACTGCGCCGTCCGCATCGTCGTCTCTCTTTTTGTGATCGTCGCCGTCCTCCTGCTCCTGCTCCTCATCCTCCTCCTCCTCCTCCTCCTCCTCCTCCTCCTCCTCCTCCTCCGCATGCTCCTCCTCCTCCGCGTCCCTCCCCTCTCCTCCTCCTCCTCCTCCTCCTCCTCCTCCTCCTCCTCCTCCTCCTCCTCCTCCTCCTCCTCCTCCTCCTCCTCCTCCTCCTGCTCCTCCTCATTCTCCTCCTCCGCATTCTCCTGCCCCGCCTCCTCCTCCTCCTCCTCCTCCTCCTCCTCCGCCTAACCCGCATCCACGTGATTATCCTTCTCGCCCTCGCCCTCCCCCTTGCACTACACTCCCGCCTCCTCCTCCTGCTGCTGCTCCTCCTCCTGCTCGCCGACATCAGCATCATCATCAGCATCATCATCCTCCTCATCATCATCACCATCAGCATCGTGACCATCAGCAGCATCATCAGCATCAACAGCATCAGCAGCACCAACAACAGCATCATTGAAAGTATCATCACCACTCGTTCATTACTGTGTTCCTCCGCTTCCTCCTCCTCCTCCTAATTCTCATCATGATCCTGGATATCCTTCCCCTCCTCTTCCTCCTCCTCATCCTCCACCACCATCCTTCTCCCCTCCTCCGCCTCCTCCTCCTACTCCTCTTCCTCCTCCTCCTCAGCATCCCCCTTCTGTCTGCCTCCCGCTGCTCCTCCTCCTCCTCTTCTTCCTCCTCCTCCTCCTCCTCCTCCTCCTCCTCCTCCTCCTCCTCCTCCCCCATCGTCACCATTATCGTCCTGATACTCATAGTTATCATCCTGCTCGTCCTCCTCCTCCTCCTCTTCCCGGATCTCCTCACGTCACTCTTCCTCGTCACTTTCCTCCCTTCCTCATACGAAGCCCTCGTCATGCTCCTGGTGCTATTCCTCCTCGTTGTGTTTTTTGTTTCCATCTCCGCCTCCTCCGTCTCTTCTTCCTCCTCCTCCTCCTCCTCCTCCTCCTCCTCCTCCTCCTCCTCTTCATCTTTCAATGTCGTCATCTACCTCCTCCTCCTCGTATTCCTCCTCCTGCTTCTCCTCCTGCTCGCCGCGATCCCCAATGTATTCCTCGTACTCCCCCTCGTGCTTCTCGTCCTCCTCCGCTTCGCAGTGTTCCGCCTCCACCTCCTCCTCCTCCTCCTCCTCCGCCTCCACCTCGGAATGTTTCTCCTCCCCGCCCTCGCATGGGGTCGCCGCCGCGTCGAAACGCACGGACCTGCCGTAGGTGGGGGAGGGAGGAGGAGGCGGAGCAAGAGAAGGGATGTCTCCTTTTCCTCCTCCGCCTCCCCTCCCTCCTCTTCCCTCCCTCCCTATCTGGTCGTTCTCTTCCCCGTGTCCCTCCCTCCAGGTCGTCTCGTCATCGTGCTCGACCTGATTCCCCTATCTCTGATCATTCCCATCCTTTCTGGGGGAAGGAGCAAATGGGGGCTTTTCCGATCGAGGAGCCGGGTGATTGATCTCTGGAAGCTCCTGGATGGCCTGCGAACTACCCGTTGGACGGTTTCGGGATGCTCCCCGAGGAATCGGGGGGGGGACGCGACGCCAAACATCCAACGTTGTGATCTCATGTTCAATGCATGGCCCCTGGACCACTCCACCCCTTCCCAATAAGCTTTTTCGCCACCGGGCAGTTCTTGACGACCCACTGGAATCGGACCCCAGAAGACGAAATCGAAAAAACGCCACCATACAAAACATTGTGACGTCAGAGGGGGAGGGGAGGGAGGAGAGACGTGAGTCTATCACAACTCATCGCCGCCATTCTCCGCAACAGCACCTTGGAGCCTTCCTCATCCAGCCCCTCCTGCGTACTCACTGTTGTTCCTCATCCTCTTCCCGCTACTCTGATTCATCCTCTTTATCATCCTCCTCCCTCCTCATGCCCCCTGCGCTTCTCACTCCTGCTGAGATACCGCCATGCGCGGGGCGTGAGGCCGGGGAAGGGCTCGGCACGTGGACGCCTGAACGCAGCGAGCTGGATCACGTGCCGCGCCGAGGCGTGGTGGGCCAGGCCCGGTGGAGCGACACGGGCAAGAGGATCCGGGCCGTACGCTCGGTCGGTGGCTGGTAAGGCAGAGGAGCTCCAGGTTGCCAGCAGGATGAGGCACCACACCGAGGAGCTCTCCACGAATCCACATCAACTGCCGCTTGGCCATGCCAACTCTTGAGGAACAGGCATATGGGCTACCTTCGGCGCGGTCACCGTCCATCCCGCGCCTCCTTTTCCTCCCTCCCCCCTCCGCCTCCTCCCCCTTTCTTCCTCCACCCCTCCTCCTCCTCCTCCTCCTCCTCCTCCTCCTCCTTTCCTCCTTCTCCTTCACCTCCTCCTCTTCGCTACCCAGATACGCAACACGCAACACGTAGCATATTGATACCGAGCCCGACGCGTAGACCGGAAACGTTGGTCTGACGCGACACGCTCGCCAAAGAGCAAGCCAGCACGTTGAGCCAACACCCAATGTACTGACACGGACCGTTCGAGCACGGCACGGCATGCGTGTCAGAACGAGCGCATCGAGGCAGCTAAGCTTAGGTCGGGCGTGTCCCCCTACAGGCGGATTCTGGGCGATAACATACCCCCACATGCCCCACTAATATGCAAAAATGGTTACAAAAATCGTCCCCTGACAATTTTTTGACTATTTTTGAAGATGCCCCCTGTAGAGGGAGAGGGACAGACACGCCCTGAGGCTAAGCTCCTCCTCCTTCCCCTCCCTCGGGGTGTGGCGCGGGCCGCGGCGGCGATCGCAGACTGCTGGCCGCGCCCGCGCGGGGACACGGGCGGCTCCGCACGGGCCGCGGGGCTCCTCGGGCTGCACCGCCGCCGAGCCCGCACTGCCGGCGCCGCGCGCGCTGAGCGGCATATCCCTCGGCACGGCTGAGGAGGAGGAGGAGGCGGAGGAGGAGGAGGAGAAGTGGGCAAGAAAACTGCAGTCCGAGGGTTCAAGTTAACGCAACATCAGAAGAGGTGGAGGGGGCAAGAAGAAGAGGATGAATCAGGAGGATGAGGAGGAGGACGACGACGACGAGGGAGGAGGAGGAGGAGGAGGAGGAAGTGGAGGAGGAGGAGGAGGAGGAGGAGGAGGAGGAGGAGGAGGGAGGAGGAGGGAGGAGGAGATGTCAGGCTTCTCTTTCTCCCAACCGGGCTTGCACGACTTCCTTCTCAGAGGAGCACAAAAATACGAGAGGCTATCATATTCGAATCACCGCGGTGGTTGTTAAGTGGATGCGGGCTTACAAGTGGATTCCAAGTGGCTTATACATGTGCCCCTAGTGGCCTAGCGGGGGTACGTGAGGTTCTGGGCTAAGTGGGCTCCGCCTACTTAGCGGAGCTGTCGAACTCACCCAAGCCACTTAGCGCACTTCAAAACCACGTATAAGCTAGGTTGGGCGATGACGATGGCGATGACGATAACGATGACGATGCTTATCATCGTAATCGTCATCGCCATCATCATCATCATCATCATCATCATCATCATCAGCATCATCATCATCATCATCATCATCATCATCATTTTCAGCATCATCATCATTATCATCAGCAGCATCATCATCTGCATTAGCATCATCATCATCAACATCATCAACAGCATCATCATCAGTATCATCACCATCGTCATCATCATCATCATCATCATCGTCATCATCATCATCATCATCATCATCATCAGCATCGTTAGCATCATCATCATCAGCATCAGCATCATCGTCATCATCATTATCAGCATCATCATAATCGTCGTCGTTGCCGCCACCGTCATCGCCATTGTCATCGATACGCGCCACCTTGAGCAATCGCCACGGTGATCCACCCCGCCAGAGGAGCTCCACGAGGAGCTCGCGCCCCAAGGAGGAGGAGGAGGAGGAAGAGGAGGAGGAGGAGGAGGAGGAGGAGGAGGAGGAGGAGGAGAAGGGAGGGGGGAGGAGGGAGGAGGAGGAGGAGGGAGGAGGAGGAGGAGGAACAGGGAGGAAGAGGAGGAGGAGGAGGACCAGCGCTCCGATTGGGATGAATCCCGATTGTCTCTGGAGCCCTTGCCACGCTATGCAGCAGAGCCCATCGCCTGCAATTCTCTCACTAGATGGGCCAGCGGGATCGGAGGCTTCAATAAAATGGGCGAGCTCGCCGTGCCTTTGGGGTGCCGTCCTTCCCCCGCTCGCTGTCGTTGCAACAAGCGTCCATTTGTAGGCGGGGAACATTCACCTCTGAGGCCACGGGTTCCTTCTGAAAACGAGCCGCACTTCCAGCACATAATTATACCCGAGGGTCGATCATCGAGATATCCAAGAAACATCGGTTTATGGCCTCGTGGGTTGGCCAGCAGCTCATGGTGGTGGGCACAAAAACCAGGGCACTGTTCCTTTTCGCGGCGCTTCAAAGCATGGTCCGTGGCCGACCTCTGACGACACACAGCGCACAGCCACCCACTGCCCCATTTATGCCACTGATGTGCCCGCCTGGGCATTGCAAGCTCGTCCCCAGGAACCGACGGGGGAGGAGGAGGAGGACTCGGAGGAGGAGGCACCTCTTGTCCCCAGGCGGGCTGAGCTGCGGCCGCTCCCACGGGCGGGTTCAAACTTTTTTCTGGCTTGGCAAGTCCTTCTGATCCGGCCTTCGGAGCTACCGCAGGCCAGATCTGAAGGGCTTCTGAAACATATCTGAGGTATTTCTTTAAAAGGGCAGCCTGAGCAATCTGTTGCTCGAGTTCATTCGTACTTAACTGGGGGCCCCTGGCAGCGGCTATCTTCGCATATCGATCAGCAGCGTCGTTGCCTTTGGCTCGTCACCACTCCTCGCTGCCTGGGGTCAAAGATTCGATATCCACATGCGCTTTGATTTTGTGGAGCCTGGGGCCGATGGGGGCCATACTGGCCCCAGCCAGGACCTTAAAGGCCCCGTAAAAGTCAGACCGAGAAAACTGTGGCTTTTGGTGCACAGCAATTGCTCCTTTATAGTCAACAAAAATCTGGGCGTGTGGGGAGGCATTCAGAGCAGCAGCAAGCACACCGCAGTGCTCAGCAGCAGGGGAGGTAGGAGGAAGGAGGTTGCCCTCGCGCCCCATCATATAAGCCGAGATTTCACCGTGCCCGTCGATGGCCACCATAGAAGCAGGAGCCGTCCGTGAAAACTTCATCAGAGAAAGCTTCTTGTGGCGAGAGGGATGGGTCCCGACTCCAAAAGTCCGCATATTCGAAGCCGAATCCAGCAGGAGCCCCCGAGTCAAATTCAGGTGAAAACTGAAAACCGGAGGCCAGGACCTGGTCCGAAAGGTTACTTATCTGATCCAGCTCGTCTGCAGTAAACTCCATTTCTTCGCGCAATTGGGCTGAGAGGCTACACTGCAGCAAACGATGCTTTAAAGTATCCTGCTGGGCTCCGCATTGGCAAGCCTCCTCAACTTCATATCCTGCTTGACGCAGACGGGTCCGCGTCCAAATGCACTGTGTGAGAAAGCAGACGAGCGTGGACCTGGCCTTCTTAGTTAAACTCTTACCGTCTATCATGGCTCGGGCAATTGAAACATCGAGGGTCTCCTGGGGATAGCCTAGTTTCTGAGCAGCTTTGCGCAAGTTGAGCCTATCCCAGGCTGCTTGAATTTTCT